ACACACACACACACACACACACACACACACACACACACACACACACAATCCCTGCATCTCTGGAATGAAGCCTACTTGATCTTGGCAGATGATCTTTTTTGTGTGTTTTATTCAGTTTGCAAGTTTTTAACTGAGAATTTTTGCATCTGTGTTCATAAGGGAAATTGGTCTGTAATTCTCTTTGTTGTTGTTGTTGTTGTTTTTGTTGCATCTTTCTTGAAGTTTAGATATCAGGGTAACTCTGGCCTACTAAAAAGAATTGAACAATGTTCCTTGTATTTCTGTTTTGTGAAATAATTTGAGGAGTGTTGCTGTTGATTCTTCTGGTAGAATTCTGTGCTAAAGCCATGTGGCTCTGGGCTCTTTTTGGTTGGAAGATATAATGCTACTTTTGTTTCACTAGGGATCATAGGTCTGTTTAATTTGCTTATCCCATCTTGATTTAACTTTGGTTTCTGGTTTATGTGTTGCCCTTCCACCAGAGGCTCTTTCCTATATAATCCAGACATTTTGGTTACCCATCCCTTTTAGGACCTTTGTCCTCCTGGCTGCTGCACCTCTCCCTCTCCCTCTCTCCCTTCCCATCCCCCTCTCCCCTCATAGCCCAGCTTAATCTGGTCACATCCACTGTGGACTCTCAAGGCTGCCCCTGCCTCTGGCTATGCTCTCCCTTTTATCTACAATAAACTTTCTCCTCCACCATTCCTAGAAGCAGTCATGTCCTTTCTTTCCTATTTCTTTTTTTATATTCAGTGGGTGAAAGGAAACAGTTTGCTCAGGACTCCCCAGAACCAACTTCCCAGCACAAAGGAGATTTATTTCCCTCAGAGGGACAAGGACTGGGAACGAGAGACAAAGACAGGAAATAGAGTATGAGGGGGAAGGGGTATTTGTTATGGGGTAGGTAACAATGACAAAGGACTGGCTCTGGATAAAGAGACAGATGTGGCACATAGGAAAATGGCAGTTTATAAAGGTAAAGAGGGAAACCCCATGTTTGGATGAGGTGTTTAATTTTAATTGGGTATGTTCATTAGGTGAGCCAAAGGGGGCTTTTCATCCCTGATCTTCAGTACTTTGATAGCTGGACCTCAGTAGTCAGCTTCAGGTGGGGAAGTGGCCAAGTAAGGGAATAGACCTTGGTGACTAGCTTTAGGAATGTAACTAATGCTTCTTAGCAAGGCAGAGGAAATGGAGCCATGCTCTCCACGCTCACCCAGGCTGACTAGAGCCCGTCCCTTCAATGGGGCATGGCTATACTCCCACAGCTTGGGAGGCTGAGGCTGGAGAATATTGAGTGCAAGGCTACCCTGAGCAATGTAGTCCTTCATCAAATACACCAGATGTCAGATACATCTACATCGTTTCTGAGCTGCTGCTGCCATTCATCTAAGTGCTTGATCTATTTTGACATTCTGCCCTCAGTCATTGCTGCATCGTTGTTGATTCACAAAATTGTCCTCCAAAAGGCATTTCTCATTCTGAGTCAGCCAGTAAATAAGAAATCCGAGGTCCAATCTATAGGAAGACGAAAAGCAAGTTATAGGGACAAGAGAGATAATGTTTGTGGGTTGGGAGAACTTTGTCCAGAGAAAGGGCTGAAGAGGAATGTGGACGTCTATGAACCAGGCAATCACTGGTCCAGAGATGTTTGAATACCAGGAGGAGGTTGAGAAAGTTCGCAGGGAAATTGATTCTTGGTAATTGAGGCCAATATTACTATGTATGTAGATGAACATCAAGGCTGCAGTCAATGCGGTCTCTGTGAAGCTGAGATGGTAACTGTTAGCAAACGAGAAAAGACAAGGGAGGAGAAAATAGGACTTATGAACCTTGGTAGGGCATATAACTTTTAAAATGGGTATATTAAAATTTTAAGTAGAAAAGTAGAGAACCAGAGAAATGACTCAGTAGGTGAAGAGCTTGCCACACAAGCGTGAGTACCTGAGTTCAAATCCCCAGAAACCTTATAAGCAGTGTATGTCTATATACAATCCCAGCTGGGAGGGTGAGATAGGAGAATTCCCAGTAGCTTGCAGGCCAGCTAGTCTGATGTTCCCAGTGGTGAACAAGAGACCCTATCTCAGTCAACGTGGGAAGCAAGGATCAGTGTCTGAGGTTGTCTTCTAACCCCCACACATGTTGTGGCACATATATATCTGCTCTCCTGCGCACACACACACACACACACACACACACAGAGAAAGATTAAGAAAAGAAAAAGAAGCTATGTTTTAGGATTTCTCTCATGCTAGATGTGTAATAATGAATTGTAAAGGAGCTGAGATTTATTGTCTTTGTCTTAAGAAAAGTTAAAAAATATTTTATTTGCATCAATAAAAATATTGTCCTGAGAAAAGAATGAGACATGTTTGTTTATTATTCTAGGATCTACAAATGGATGAGAAACTCACAAAGTTATGACTGTATGTGAAATATGGTATATGTAGAATAACTCTATCCAAGAGTGTATAATAAAATGGAATTTAAGATGATTATGTAACTTCAGTTTTCCTTAATCTTAGTTTTCCAGTAGAACTATGTATTAAAATACTTAATCTATTTGTGTGAAATTCAGAAAATCAGAGACAACGTCACTTGCTCTTTGTTGATCACTGCCAAATTTTTGCTGCTTGTGAAAGAAATTTATGGAAATGAAATTAATTCATTGTATCATTGACTTAGGAGCAGTATTTTATTACTGAGTTACAGTACGTCTAACTTGCGTCTTCCTGTTTTCCAGCTTGGCTCATCCTCTTCTGTGCCTTTTACATCAATTTTCTCTCAGCTTTTTATGACGGTTGTGGTTCCTCTCATTATTGGACAGGTAAGGGCCCCGGTCTAGCTGAACTTCCTAGACTGATTATCCTGTGAATTCTTATGTGAAATCAGGGCAGGTGAGGGGAAAGGATGAAAAAAGAAAACAAAGTGTGTGGTTTCAGCATTTCCATCCTTTAAGATATAATTAACCTTAAACCACATTACAGTTGGTTTTCTACATAAGAATCTGTGAACAGATTCCGGCCAGACCCGAGAACCTGCGTTCTTCTCAAGCAACAGGACCTCTGCTGTGGTGCTTCCTATGACTTTGTTAGATAACTAATTTATGAGCATACATAAGTAAAATGAGGGTCTTCTTGGGTGTGCTTGTTTATTTGGGGGTTAGGTCATGGGCAGCCACAGTCATGGAGACGAGTTTAATATCAGAATGAATGTCGTAGGCTTTAGAGAAATGGTGTGTGAGCCTGACTCAGGGTCAAGACCCACAATTGTTTCTGTCCTTCATTTGCTGGATGACCGTGGTCAAGTCATTTAATCTTTCTAGCGCCCAGTCACAATTTACTAAATATTATAATTACAGTACCTCTCAAAGTATGATTGTAAGGGCTAAATGAAATATTGATGGGTGTAAAGTTCTCAGTGAATCATCTGACACAAGTGAACGCTACAGCTTCAGTCATTGTCACCATCATCATCATCATGATTGCTGTGTGTGCTGAACAAGAAACAGGCCTTTCAAACGTTGTCCATAAACACAGTCTCCAGACAGCTGGTCTTTAGTGGGGTTCTGAGAAAGACTCTGCAGGAAGTGTATGGGGTGATGGGGCGCAGAAGGCAGAGTGCCTTCCCATGACTCCTTGCAGAGCTCCAGGCTGCTCCACCCCTCAAGAGTCTTCAGATCACACTCACACTAGGGAAACTGACAGACAACAGGCAATTCTGTACAGAGGACCAGAGCATCCAGCATACAGACATTTTTTAAAATTAATTTTACACTTAGAAAACAGACCAAATTTAGCATAATTGGGGTGATTTAAAGGTAATCAAAGATTACCATTTAATAAACTACAAAATAACAGTTGAAAAATGCACCCTCATGCCGATCACATATTTTCAATAAGCAGTATATCCCCGGCCCTTGGGAGCTTTTGCAGCATTTCTTATATGTCTATTTATTCCTATTCCTTCTGATGGATTGTCCTCCTGCCCACCCTGCCTTCCCAGCTTGTTACTCATCTTGATGTTGTAATCCACCTCCCATTTGAACCATGTGATTCCCCTCAGTTTCATCACCGTAGCACCTTGTTTGATTCCTGTCATGGACCCCTGGTGATGTCTAGAAGCAGGTTTGTTTTGTTCCCCATTACATTCCCAAGCTGCGGGGATCCAGTAAGTATACGCAGAATGAATGAAAGGAAAGGAAACAAGAATCTGTCTCTGTGTGCTGTACATTTTGTCTTGCTGAGACTTAAGAACAATGGCCTGCCCCATGTCTCTAACATGAACAACATCAGTGTACATTCGTGTTCCCCACAGTCACTTGGAACACATAATTCTTCTCTTAATGATAAATACTTGACTTAATGCATATGGACAAAAACACACCTGCCAACATAATTTAGTTTTTAAATGTATACAGTGCTATCTATCATTTATATAAAGAATCTTTACCCAAATAGAATATGGGATGTTAGATTGCTCATCCTGTGTGTGCCCAATAGTAAAGCATTCGGTAAATTATAAAGTAGTAAAGACAGCCAAACCGTAGTTAAGAATAGCTTTTTAAAAGTAAGTTTTTTTCACACAATATATTCTGATCACAGTCTCCCCTTCCTCCTCTCCTCCCAGACCGCCCCACAATCCACCCTCCAACGCCACACCCAAGCAAGCCAATAAAAACAAAGCAAAATAAAACAAAGCCAACAGAGAAAAGAAAGAAAAAGGAAAAAATCACCAACACAGACACACACACCCATAAAGACACAAGATAGGAAAGTGCAGTAGATAAGCAAAAGACAAGGTTTTAAAACAAAGCATTCTGAGACAATACTGACATGATTCTCCAAAACATACTGTCCGTCTACTGCCAGGCCTGGGGTCCTTTGTAAACCCACTGGGAAAAACCAAGTTTCCATGTGCAAGGCTTGTCCGCTGGAAGTAGCTTCTGGGCTAAGGGTGAGCTTATGTGCACTCCCCTCCCAGCACCGGGACCCCATCTGGCTTTGGTGTGTACAGACTTAGTGTGGGTAGCTTTTTATTGCATCCTCGTAGGTACCTTTGGTGGCTTTATGTGACAAAGGGACCTGCACACTTGCATCTTCCTGCCCCTCCTTATTCTGATCTTAGGAGTGGGCAGTCACCAGCACTGTACTGGTGGGTCAGCCTCGCCTGCTCCTGTTCCTCCCGTCCTTATCCCTACATCCAGGAAGTCACTAAACTCTTTCTCTCTCGCTCTTTCCCAACTTGGCATCTGCAAACACCATCCAGTGTGAGAGAGGGCGGCACACCTAGTCATCTTTGGCTGTCATCACCCCTCCCGAATGTCCTCGGGAGTTTGGCTCACCCTGCTTCGGCTATGCACTGATCTACCATGGCCTTTCTTACAGGCTCCTCTCAGTCCTGTTGTGTATCCGCATTTTTATTCCTGCAGCCCCAGTCACACCCCCTGCCCTGCAGTGGCCTGTTCTCATTCCCACACACACTCAGTTCCAGCTCACCCATGGTGGGCTCTGAATGCAGTTACCTTCTTAAGGCTTTCAGTCTCCTGCCTCACATCTTTATTTGCTGGGTGTGTCAGTCAGCCTGAGTGGTGAGTTCATAAGCAGTTGCTCCCAGGTGTATTCAGTAGCATGCTCAGTAGTATTTTTTGCTGTACCAAAAAATTGGCAGAGGGCCTGGAGAGATGGCTCAGCGGTTAAGACTGCTTTTTGAGAGGTCCTGAGTTCAATTTCAAGCACCCACACAGCAGCTAACAATTGTCTGTGACTCCCTCACACAATCATACGTGCAGACAAAACACTGATACGCATAAAATAAAAATAAATTAATTTAAAAAAAAGATTGGCAGAGGAAACTTTCTGCTTACCCACAGCAGGCCCAGCACTCCTTTTCCTAGATTGCCATTTATCAGGGTTATATTTTATGTCTGTGTAGTAGCTACTAGATAACGTGACTTCTTTCCCAGAAATCATCTGCCAGACATGTCTTGAAAACAAAGTTAAGTATAGTTGCCCCTCAGGATCTAAGGGGATTGGTTCCAGTGTCATTACAGACAAAAATCTAGGGTGTTCCAGTCTATAAAATAGCATAGTGTTTGTACATGACTATACATATCTTCTACCGATTATTAATAATACTTAGTCAATACAGTTCAAATGTTGTGTCAGTAGTTTAAAGAATAGTAAGGAAAACAAGCCTGCACAGATTCCAGATTCAGTCTGGAAGCAAGTTTTTTCAAGTAGTTTTAATTACGAACCCAGAGGACCAACTATAAGGCCATAACAAAAGGGAGGGGCCGAGTATAGAGCACATTGTATTAGATGAGCACTGCTCCATGGGGAGTGAGCCCTAGACCCTGAGAACTACAGGGGAGATGATTACCTCTGGAGAGGGGTGTCTAGAACTGGCTCACGACCTTGGCCACCCGCTCCCTCCATGACCACATCTTTCAGAGTCAGCCTGTTTCACGCAGACTGCATTAAGGAAGAGATGCCGCCCTTCCAACAAGAGCTCATCTTAGAGCACCGCAGGGAGACAGGGGTATCTGCTACCGTAGCGTTCCGACAGAGGAGGGTGTGCTTTCTCTCGTGCACAGGTACTTTCCTGGGGCTCCTCACTGCTCAGGCACCACCGCTTCCCTCTGTGCTCACCCTGTAGTTCTTTCAGCCACCAGCACTGCTGTTCTACCTCATTTCCCCTCTGACCCCCCTCGAAACCCACAGCCTAGCACTGAAGACACACTCCTTCCTCGTTGTTTCAGTTCCTCCGCCCTCCTCTTTATCATATTCTCACAAAAGCCCAATCCCTGTTCGCACCTGACCTCCTGCTCAAGTCCCAGGACGCATCACTGTCTTCGTCCGCTGGCGGAGGTCCACGTTCTCAGCCCAGCTCCGTCCCACATCCCAGCAGAGCTCTGTGCTGCGCGCACGTAGTCCTGTCGTGCTTTAAATTCATGGCATCAAATTGAAACATCAGCTGAAATACCTGCGCAGCCTACCCCATCCCCACTCTGTCCTTTCTCCAGCATCCTGTCCTCCCTTCTCTGGAGCCTTTGCCCGCTCCTTGCATTTGCCTGAAGATCCTACTGCGTTTCACCTTCCGAGAGAGACCTAACCTCAGCTTCCTCCACTGGCTGCCCTGGTTGAAGTCACACTCAGGGCATCTGGTTTCAACTTCTCAATACATTTCTTTTCCTGCTTCTTGCTTTCTGGTTTCTTTTTTGTTCAGCTCCCCCAAGATAGGGACCTGTCTGCCTAGTTTGTCTCTTCTGTTGCTCTTCAACCCACTGCCTCACCTAAATTGTGTAATGTGACCTTTGAGGACCTTGTGGACAGAGCTCAGGCACACTTGTCCCGAGGAAAAGTGCCAGGTGAAGTTTAGCTTGCCAATTGTAATGGAAAGGGGCAAATTACAAAAGTAAACATTCCTACAAACTCTTTTATTTATCTTTTAAAGCACGATTTCTGTCATCTCTTAAACAAAGTGAATTGGGGGTGGGGATGGGGGGAGAATAAGCATGTGAACTGAGTCAAATTTCCTAGCCTTTTACTGTCTTTTGCTTGTTTGGTTATGTATTGTGGAGGCACAAAAATGTGGGCCTATTTCCCCAGTTGACTAAAGGTCAGAGAGTTGGGACTTACCTCTGTTCCTTCAAGGCTTCTGTGTTTCTACCTCAAACAAAGGTCCCACCTAGATTTAGGTCAGAGAGTTCTGTTCTCTCAAGGTTATTGTCAACAGGTGTGGCTAATAGCCAGACCTTGTATTTCAGGAATAGGAAAGTAGATATGTTTCTACTAAGTCTAAGGATTCCACTAAGGTTCCAGTTCC